CATGGGGAGCAGACGAAGTACTGGGTGAACAAAGCACTAAATGTGTGCTGTTGGCCTGGGCACCGCCATGTCAAGGACCCAAAGCCTCAGCCATACAGGAATGGCATAGCCTTCTCTAGTTTAGTGTGTGCAAAAATGTCCACCATAACTTGCTCCTCCTGGCATATCCAGCCTGCACACTGCCTCCCTGCAAAGACACGATTAACTTAACCTGTCCTTGTCCAGCTGTATACAATAACCTGCCTCCCTGTCCAGCTGTATATAATAACCTGCCTCCCTGTCCAGCTGTGTGTAATAACCTGCCTCCCTGTCCAGCTGTATGTAATAACCCTGCCTCCCTGTCCAGCTGTATGTAATAACCTGCCTCCCTGTCCAGCTGTGTGTAATAACCTGCCTCCCTGTCCAGCTGTATGTAATAACCCTGCCTCCCTGTCCAGCTGTATGTAATAACCTGCCTCCTGGTTTATCTATGCAATTGCTCTGCCTCTGTGTTCAACTGTATATAGCAAACACACTGAGATTGCAAGATGCCGAGGTTTCTCCATCAGAAAGTCCAGCCCACACTATCCTAGCCCCTTCTGTCTGTGCATGTCTGTCGTTTCTTCATTCCCTTGATGCCCCTAGTCAGGGTCTGAGGACCCAAGCTGTGCAAGGACACCGCAGAAGGAGAGAACCAACTCCTGAAAGTTGTCCTCTGACCACATGCTCACCCTGGCACTTGTGTGCCTGCACATGATCACACACTCATTTATGCACGTACATATATGCTACAGATGATAAATACATGCAAAAAAGGTAATTTCAAGCCAGGCAGTGGTGGAGCATGCCTTTAATCCCAGCACTCGGGAGGCAGAGGCAGGCAGATCTCTATGAGTTTGAGGCCAGCCTGGTCTACAGAGTGAGTTCTAGGACAGCCAGGACTACACAGAGAAACTCTATCTCAAAACAAACAAAGTAATTTCAAACAGGAACAGATCTCCAGTTATACACAGTGATTACACATAAAATAAAGGTAACGAACGCACTTTTACAGCTTCGGGATGCCTGCCAAATCCCTGAGATCAAGAGCAGCAGGGAAAACCCTCAGACCCTCCTATGTTACTGCTGAGCCACCAGGAGATGCAATGGGAAGGAAATCCCCTCCCAGCAGTAAAAACCATAAGAGCCTTAGAAATAAATCTAGTACAGGAGGCTGAGGCAGGAGATTCACCATGAGTTCCAGGCTAGCCTGGTCTACAGGGTAAGACAATACCAAAAGAAAACAAAAACTCTTAAATCTATAAACCTGATAAATGATACTCAGTGTCTTTATTACAGCACATAATGAGTACAGAGATGCGTTATATTTATCACGGGAAGGTATAATTTCAGATACAATCTCAGCTTTTCATGTTAGACCGAGGAAATGGGATGAGAATAACTGAGGCACAGTTTGAAGGGAAAAAGAGGAGGAGGGGGGAGGAGGGAGGAAGAGGAGGAGGGAAGCAATTCCGTGGGCACCAGACAGGCACGTGGCGTACAGACATACATGCAGGCCAAACTCCCACATCCATAAAAATAAAAGTAAATGCAGGACATGGTGGCACATGTGTGCACGTACATGCTTGAAACTGCCACAGGAGAGGCAGAGACAGGAGGGCTCCTGGGGCTCCCTGCCCAGACTCTAGTCTAATTGGTGAGTTCCAGGCCACTGAGAGACCAACTCAGTGGAGGCAGACAGTGTTTCGGTGTGTCACACCCGAGCCTGTCCTCTGGCCTCCACATGTGGGAACAGACAGACACACACACTCCTGTGTGTTTCTAGGGATTAAACTGTGCAGTCACTTCAGTGACTCCTCTAACATAGAACCCATGACAGAACGGCTTGCAGGCATTATGAGCGAGCCAGACAGCCAGCAGCCTGCTCACTGCAGCACTGTTTACAAGCATAGCACTCGGGGAGTCCATCAACAAAGCAAGAGCAGGGGTCTGGTGTTACTGGCACATGAAGACTTGGGTCCAGGCCCCCACTGAGCGAGCTTCTGATAATGAGTTCACACCCTAGTCCTTCTGTACATAAAATGCTCTCCCCAGGGTATTTCTTCCTTCCTTCCTTCCTTCCTTCCTTCCTTCCTTCCTTCCTTCCTTCCCTTCCCTTCCTGTCTTCCTTCCTCCCTTCTTCTCCTCCCTCCCTTTATTCCTTCCTTCTTTCCTTCCTTTCTTTACAAAGTTTTCTTTGTTTTTGGTGTTTTGTTTTGATACACAGTCTCTCTACATAGCCCTGGCTGGTCCTAGAACTCTACATAGACCAGGCTGCCCAGGCCCATGATATTTTCTACCCCATCCTCTCACTGCATCAGGTCTGTGTAAAAGCTCTCCCTCCCCCATTGCTAACCTTCAGCCACAAAGACAGCATCCCACGGGAGCGCCATCCCACCACAGGAGGGATCAGCATGCATGGGAGCAGTGTCCACGGGAGCACACCCCCACGTGAGCAGCGTCCACAGGAGCAGAGCATTCAGCGTCCACGGGAACAGCATTCATGGGAGTCCACTCTACTCAATGGCGGCATGGTTTAAGGCATTAAAGTGTTCACTCTGGCCAGATTAGGTTCAGGTTGTGCCTTCCCAAGCACTGTTTGTATCACCTCAGGCAAGTTGTATAAGTGTCTGTGACTCAGTTTCTCCTTTGTGTCATGGGAGGTAATAATAGTTTTCACTTCAGCAGGGATTGTGAAGCCTGGATGAGTTAATGTGCTAAACACTCAGAATGGGGTCTGGTACAAAGGACATGCTGCTTATCAGGAAATCACAGGGCTGAAAATGACAGAGCTGGGTTGGTCAGCACACCTGCCCCTGCTTACATCCTGTCATGCACAGGGCATAAGCCATGCTGGGGCTGGGCCTTGATCCCTCACAGAGGCCTCTTCCCTACCTCCTCCATTTCTGTGTTCCATGGCCTCCGGCTGGCTAAGCAGACTTCCTATGTCTCCAACTGAATAAACTGAATTGAATCTATAGTCTTGCCATAAACTCACTGGGATGATATCTTTTTTAGAACTCCATATAAAGGTAGCAGGGACTGAGGCTGGGAGGTGGCTCACTGAGCAGAGCGCTTGCCCAGCATATGCAAAGCCCTGGGTTCAATTCCCAGTACCACAGAAATAGGCATGGTACTGCACACCTGTAACCCTGGGAGGAGGAGGAGTCAGGGTCTCAGCTGAAGTTAGGGTTATCCTCAGCTACACAGAGAGTGCAAGGCTAGCCTGTGCTGCAGGAGACCCTGCCTAAAATGAAGGGAGGGTGGAGTGATGGTGTACCGACCAGTTAAAGCCAGGGCAGGGAGTCTGCAACCCTAGGAGGAGCCAACTCTTTCCCCAGGCCCCTTCCTGAAGTCTGAAGGCCTGATACCCAACCCGCTGGGCTGGAAGGCACTGAGTACAGAGGGCACCCACAGAGGGCCATTGCCTAGGAGAGATCCAGGAAGATCTTTGCTCCTCTCTTTGCCCTGGCTTAGGGAGAAAGAGTGGGTCGGGGCTGGCTGTAGATATTTTAACACTATTTTCCTACTGTTTCTTACAAGCTATTAGAGAGAAAGAGGCACCTATTGTATATGTGGTACTTGGTGACCCTTTCCTCCTACCCCTACCCCCAGTGCAGAGGCCCAGGCAGCAGGGTGGGTGCTGCCTACCCAGAAGTCTAAAGAGCTGGTCTCATCAGCTCTACCTTCCAGCACATTCTAAACCCATCCTCACACTCATCTCCTACCTGGTTTCTACCTCCAACCCAAGCTGCCCAGCAGCAGGGGATCCTTAAAAGCCCAGAGCAGATAGCTGGCAGTTTCCAGCATTTCTGGGTCTGGCCACCAAGCAGTGGCTCCTCTGACAACCCCAGGTCAGGCCATCACTGGAACTGCCCTGAAGGAGGAAACCGAGGCACAGGGTGCTCAGCATCTGGCTCTGTTTCTACAGAATGGAGTGCCACGGCTAGGACTCAGCTTGGGGGCACAGTCTTGGCACCCTGAAGGTGTCGGCGCCAGGTTGGAGCTGGGTGCTGTAGTCTTAGGTCATGTCTCACACACACACACACACACACACACACACACACACACACACACGATCTGCCTCAGGTCCATCGCGACAGGCCCCAGAAAGGTTTTCTCTGAAGTCGCCTTACTTTATACGACCTCCGCTTGGATGCCATCTCCTCAGCAAGGCCCTCCCTGAACATCTTTTGAACGCCGTCCCCCTTTCTCTCTTCATCCCCAGCGAGTTGCACTTTGTTCACAGACCCCTGTCCCTTCCCATCATGACAGTAGAGACATCCCTATTTAAGCTTGTCTTTTCTTTCTAAAATGTTCTAGAACTTCAGCTCCAGGGCACTGAGCAGATGGGGGTGGTTGGGCCTGTGGGCTACGCTGTTGCTCACAGCACTGAGGCTCTGGCCCACCAGGTCACAGGCGAAGCTGTTACACTGTGCACTGCTTCTGTTCCTGGCTTTTCCTGCCAGTCCTCAAACCCCAGGACTTGCATCTTTTTGGTGGGAATCCCCTCCACACTAAGACAGTCAGAAGCCCTGTCCTTCCCTGGGTGCATTTTAAAAGAAGCCTCACCCATGACAGGACTGAGGGAGGAGGAGGAATGTGTGTGTGTGTGTGTGTGTGAGAGAGAGAGAGAGAGAGAGAGAGTGTATGATGTATATGTGTGTGTGTATGAGTGTGTGTATGAGTGTGTATCTGTGTGTGTGAGAGAGAGTGTGTGTATGAGTGCGTGTGTGAGTGTATAAGTTCGTGTGTCTGTCTGTGTGTGTCAGGAGGGGGCCTGTACTTCCTTCCTTCTGGCTTGGGGCACAGGCAGCTCACAGGTAAGGGCACTGTAGAAGGTCTGTGTCACCAATGGGTTCTCTGGCACACCTTGAGGCCGATCACGATCTACTGAACATCTATCTCATTTCCTTCCTGCTAGACCTGGCTTTGTTCCCCAAAGCACTTCCAAAGTCCCCCCTCAGAGACCCCAGTCTTACCCATTTCAATCCCACAGGTGACTAAGGCGGCTATCACTGCGCCTGCTGAAGTCCCCGCAAAGCGATGGGCTGTGTCCAGCATCCTTGGGGCCAGATCTCGTAGAGCATCCACGACCCCAGCCTGGTAGTAGGAAAGGAACCCGCTCCCGGAGAAGGAGATGGAGTGAGGGGTGTCTGGGTCCCCCTTGAACACCTGTTCTTCCATCTTCGGGGCCTCTGGCCTCCCAGAGGAGGAACCCGCACCCGTCTGCCTTAGCTCAGTTGTCTCCTTCCCCGCCAGCCACGAGCCTGGAATGTGGTGACTCTACTGGCCCAGCCAGGCACCCACAGGTGGTTCACCCAGCCACTGCCTGGGCCTGTTTAGCTCTGCTGAGAGGCACCTGAAAGACTGGTAAGGGACCCCAGGCCTGGATGAAAGGCCGATGGCTCTCAGAGTCATGAACAGGGTCTTGGTCCTAGAGACCCCATGCTGGCTTCACCTCGAATTAACCGGCACGGTTCCTCAGCTCTCTGCACACATCCCGAGTGCACCTAGAAGTGGGCATTCCCTGTTCCCTACGGAGGCGGTGCCTCTCAGCCCTCAGCATCCAGTTGCAAAATCTCTGCAAGCGCAGCCTCGCCCTGTGCCTCACTCACTAGCAGGCCGCTGCAGGGCCAGAGTTACCAGCCACCCTCCCAGGGTCCCTGTGTGCCCCTGAACCGCTCCCCCATCCCTGACTTTCAAAGGGGAGGTGTAACTTTCACCTGTGCTCCTCCCCACTCCCCAGACTGGAAACATTCATACGTAAGTGCCTCTCTGTTTATTCTGATGTTAGGATTGGCTCTGGGCAACACTGTCCAGAGAAGTTTGGCTCCGAGGGTTTACCCTATTTTGCTTTCTATTGCTAACTCGGCATGGGGGAGGGGATATTTCAGTTTACAGCTTATGGTCCATTGTGAAGGAAAGTCAGGGCGGTGAGAACTGAGCAGACAGCATGGAGAAATGCTGCTTACTGGCTTGCTTTCTTATACAACCCATGACCACCTGCCCAGAGGTGGGACTCTCCACAGTGGGCTGGGCCCTGTCACATCAATCATTAACCAAGAAAATGCCCCAAGCGGCCTTTTCCAGCCTCCTACCCACCTCCCTTGCCATGTCCTTTGCTCTGGCCTTGTCGGGGATCTGTCCTGTACCGGCTCTATCGCCTGCAGTGGCCAGAGGAGGGCATCACAAGCCCTGGAGCTGAAGTCACAGGCAGTTGTGAGCTGCCTGGTGTAGGTGCTGGGACCTGAATCCGGGTCCTCAGGGAAAGCATCAAGCATTGAGCCATCTCTCCAGCCAGTGTGTCTCTCAAGTGTATAGGAAAGAAGGAATAGAAAGCTGGGTCATCCCAAGATGATCACATAGATGAGCAGGTTGTGGGTGGGAGGGGGGGTCATGGGGTCCCATGTGGGGACATCAGGGTCAGGGCAGAGAGAAGGTGTGAGAAGTGGGGAGGAGGCTGGAAACAGCTTAGTATTTCATCAATTTGACACAAGCTGATAAAAGGGAGCCTCATTTGAGGGTTCGCCTCCATCAGATTGGCCTATGAGCAAGTCCTTGAGGCATTTTCATGGGACTTGGGGGCCAGGGTTAGCTCTAGGGCTGCCCAGCATGCCTCCCGGAAGGGGGAATTTTCCTCACAGCCCCCAAATGGCGCTGCAGATCACTAAGGCAGCAAAAGCTTCCCTACTCCCCCTCCTAATCTCCCCCATCTTCCTCCTCACCTCCCTCCTCTCCCCTCCTCATCTCCCCCATGCTCAGTTCTCCTCCCCTTCCTCCTCCATAATCACAGGTATCATTGTGGTCACTATCACCACAAGGCAGCAGGACCAGAATTAGAACTGAGACACCAAATCGTCCCCCTCCAAATCACAATAGACCCCAGCCTCTCTGGAGGTGGTGACTTCAAGTCTTTCCTGGTCCTAGGAGCTCCCACCATCCAAGCTGGGGTTACACAGTAAGGGCTCCCACCATCCAAGCTGGGGTTACACAGAAAGGGCTCCCACCATGCAAGCTGGGGTTACACAGTAAGGGCTCCCACCATCCAAGCTGCGGTTACACAGGAAGGGCTCCCACCATCCAAGCTGGGGTTACACAGTAAGGGCTCCCACCATCCAAGCTGCGGTTACACAGGAAGGGCTCCCACCATCCAAGCTGGGGTTACACAGAAAGGGCTCCCACCATCCAAGCTGCGGTTACACAGTAAGGGCTCCCACCATCCAAGCTGCGGTTACACAGTAAGGGCTCCCAATGTGTAGCAACCACTAAGGTGGGAGTGATCCAGGGTTTGGTCTTAAGCAGATAGCTTCAAACATCTAATTGTCAGATTTGGAAGGCAGCTTTTGATTAAGTGTGTGTGTGCTCACGTGCATTCGAGTGTGCAACCATGTGAACATGCTAAAGAGGCTGGGGGTGGGTGGGTGTGATAAGGATGGAGCCAATGGCTTTTGGCAATGGGAATAAGCAGGGGTGCCCCCCTCCCAAGCTTCCCCAAACCAGATACTAACAGGTTTCCTGGGAGTCTGACAGGCAAATGTGAAATAACTGGAGACTCACCCAAGACACTGTAATTAACAACTAAATTGTGCAAGGCTAGATCGCCTCCGGAGGAGTTAAGAGGCAGGGGGAACATCAGAGAAGCTGAGGACTAGAGACTGGAGAGGATGTGGGGAAACAGGATTTAAGGCAGGGGACAGCTGTGGCTTCCTTAGGAGGGGAGGCCTTATGGGTTCAGAGGCACAGGTCTGCTGTTTACACACAGTTTAACCCTCACAATGCATTGGCTATTTTCCCTCTTTACAAAACAGGCAGCAATTCCCCAGCTGAACTGGAGTTATAAAGGCCACAGATAATGGCTGTGAGTGCCTGGCAAGTGGCATTCCTATCATTATGAGAAGGCAATAAAGTCCAAGGCAGATGTAGTTTGGAGTGTATGGAAGAGAAAGAGGCAAGGGCCGAAGGGAAACACGTGACCTCCATGTGGACCAGGAAACAGAGAGCACAACAGGGCTTGAAGGGCACTCCAGCTGGAGAGTTGTGGACGGGAAGTGAGGTCAAGGCTGGTGACCCAGGCACACAGGGTGGCCAGGCTGAGTGACAACTAGTCAGCAAAGCTATTGCCACAGACAGCCCTGGGTGTGGGACCGGTTGGATGAGCAAAGTGATTCATAGGTCGATAATGCCTGGTTTTCAGCTTGAGGGTAGGGAGAGGCAGGATACCTTTGGCAAACCAAGAAACTGGGACACAGCTGACAAAACTGGGTGAAGGGAGGTTTTATTTATTTATTTATTTACTTACTTACTTACTTACTTACTTTAATATCTGGGAGCTAGAAAAACAGCTGAGCGGTTAAAAAGATCACTGGCTTCTCTTGCAGAGGACCTGGGCTTGAATTCCAGCACCAACACCGGGGACATCAACCATCTGCAACTCCAGTTTCAAGGAATCTGGTGGCCTCTTCTGGCCTCTAGAGGTACTGCATGCACATGTTACATAAGCCATACATGCAAACAAAATAGCTATATTCATAAAATAAAAATGAATTAAAAATAATATACTTTTAGTCTGGCGGTAGTAGTGCATCACTTTGGAGGTAGAGGCAGGTAGATCTCTGAGTTCAAAGCCAGCCTGGTCTACAGAGTGAGTTCCAGGACAGCCAGGGCTGCACAGAGAAACCCTGTCTTTGAAAAAAAAAAAAATTTTTTTTAAACTGGGCATGTTGGTACAGTGCCTTTAATATCAGCAGTCAGGAGATACAAGCAGGCAAATCTCTAGGCAGACTGGTGTACATAGTGAGTTCTAGGCCAAACAGTGCTACACAGCCACATCTTGTCTCAAAATGTATGTGTGTGTGTGTGTGTGTGTGAGTTGTGGTGTGCATGTGAAGATCAGAGGATAATTTCTGGAGTAGACTCTTGTCATAGTTAGCTTCAGCTGTCTACTTGCCTGGGAAGAAAACACCTCAATTAAGGAATTGCCCCATCATACTGGCCTGTGGGTATTTCCTGAATTACTAACTGATACAGGAGAGCCCAGTGTGGTCCCTAGGCAGGTGGCCTGAGGTATAAGAAAGGAAGCTGGATGTAAGTGTGGGAACAAGCCCGTAGAAAGTCCTGTCTCTATGTTCCTGCCTGGGCTTCCTCCATGAAGGACTGGTAACCCTTTCCTCCCCAAACTGCTTTGGTTATGGTATCATCAGAGCAACAAAAAAGCAAACTAGAACAGCATCTCATTCCACCATGTGGGACCCAGGAATTGAACTCCGGTCTTTGGATTTGGCTGCGAGTATTTTTACCCACAAGTCCATCTCACTGGCTCACAAATTATCTAACACTGCTGTGCCTAGTTTAAGCCTAACAAATGAGAAATAGGATGTTGTCATGGTACATGGTACACTGTATCAGTGGCTTCTCATGTTGCTGTGTCAACATACTGGAGAAAAGCAGCTTAGGAAGGGCGTTTAGGCTCGTGGGTTGAGGGTATGGTCTATCACAATGATGATGGCAGGAATGATGGGGAATGGTCTTCTGTACATGTTTATCTTATTGGTTGATGATTAAAACACTGGCCAGTAGGGCAGCAAGATAGGCGGGTCTAGGAGATGAGGAGGATTCTGGGAAAGATAGGCAGAGTGAGCCCATCAGACAGAGTCCTGATGCTTCCGGAGGAGTAACATCATGCCGGGCATTACCGGGTAAGCCACAGCCTCGTGGCAATATACAGATTGATAGATAGGTCAATAATTAAGACAGAACTAGTCAAAGAGAAGCCCAAGCCATCAGCCAACAATTTCATAATTAACATAGCATCTGTGTGTTCATTTGGGGCTCAAGGGCCACGGGACCTGCTGGGCTAGAAACTTTCACGTTACATGTCATACTGTATGGGCACTCAGGAATCAGGGAGATGGTGCTGGCACTCAGCTCACTTGCTCGTTTGTGCTCAGCTGGGGACCCTGACCCATGGGTTTGTGTCACCACATTCCACTTGGGTCTCCCCTGCTTAGTTAACTCTCTATGGAAATGCCCACAGCCAGGTCCAGAGATGAGTCTCCCAGGTAACTCCAGATCCAGCCAAGCCAAATGGAGATGAGCAGCACAGGACTTGTGGGGAGTAGACGCTGTTATTCTTAATTTATTGTGCTTGGTACATGGACATTGACTCAGTTCGTGGAGAAGTGAGTTAGGCAGGATGTGGTAGTGTCTGTCCGTGATCTGAACACTAGGGGGCTGAGACAGGAGGACTCTGAGTTCCAGACGACCAGACTGGGTTGTCTGCACGAACTTTGTAGGCTTTTGATTAAAACGTTAAGTAATTTTTAAAATGTGCTACATTAAAGCAGGGTAGTGTGCACACCTTTAATCCCAGCACTCGGGAGGCAGGCGGATCTCTGTGAGCTCATGGACTGTAACAAAAAAGTTGCATTTATTTACTCATTTATCTTGTGTAGGGTGGGCACACA